TTTCCATAATTGTGTATATTTTATCAGTAGTAAAAGGCACTATAATTTCTGCTGGGCCTATTTCTGCTAGTTTATGAAGTTGTAATTTTCCTTTTAAAATTAATTCAGAGACCTTTTCCACATGAGTTTTTAATTGCTTTGTTGACAGCTCTTAGATATGTCACCATCGTCCATTTTCCAGATTTCCTTTTAACAACAAATACAGGAGAATTCCAAGGGCTGGTTGATTCTTCAATGTTTCTCCTGTACCAGCTGTTCTGAAGCCTGCAGTTTCTCTTCTGTTAATGGCCATTGTTTAACCCATATTGGTTTCTCAGTTAACCATTTTAAAGGTAGGACTGCTGGTACCTCTAAAGGTTTGCTAGTTGTTTTGTGTTCTTGTACAGCATTAATGGCTGGTGACCTTTGTATATAGTACCTTAAAATATCCTTCCCAGAAACATGGGTTTCTGGGACTGCAGGAATGTTAATCTGGGTATTCCACTGCTGCAGCAGGTCGTGATCCCATAAATTCACTGCAATATTAGCCACATATGGCCTCAGCCTTCCTCTCTGTCCTTCTGGCCCTATGCAGTCAACTCATCTCATTCTTTGTTTCACTTGAGATACGGTTCCAATTCCTAGGAATTGAACATTTGTCTCTTGAAGAGGCCAATTTGGATGTCAAGACTCTGGAGTAATGATAGTCATGGACACTAAAATGATCTCACGCTAGCTCAGAATTGAGTATAATAAAGGGCTAGACTCACAGATCACAGTCTTCTGCATGAATGGGGATCAGAAGCCGAATATAGCAGCTGGAAGAGAGAGGAAGCATGTATTTTATGTCAGCATTTATAGTACAAGAGGCCACACCCAAGTGGGCTGTTATCTTAAAGGTTACTGGCTGAAGGAGTTCTTACAGCAAAGGAGGACCCCAGAGTAGAGACAAAATTAAGCCTCTATGTGCCTACCCCTCCGGAAATTCAGTGTCCAGCAGATCCAGCTGGTCCCTCCTGACTGTGGCCCAACCCGGCACTGGCCTTGCCCAGACCTCGCCAAGGGGGTAGCCTACTTTGCTTGTGCTGAGGAGGGGGAGGGGAAAGGTGAGGGGACCATGTGAGAAGAGGGGGGCTGGAGGAAGAGCAGGGAAAGAACAAGTATGTTCTCTGCAAAGTCCTGAGGATGACCCGGAAGAGCAAATGAACTCACTGGGAAACCAACTGACTTAGAAGACCAGCTGCCAGGCTAGAGAGGCCAGCTTGGTCCACTTGCATCCAAATGCTTGGTGCTCTCTAGGGCACTGGAGGTTTTCTTTTCTGCAGTCAGTAAACTTGGGCCAGCTGGGTGTGAAGGAAGGAGGTGATGATTACTTAGAATGTCACTGGCAACATTTTATTTTGTTAATCACTTAACAATACAATACAATTCCCAGCAATGACCCAAGTTCTAAGAGAGCAAACACACATCCCTTTCTGGCTACTGTCTGGGTTCATCCAACTTCTCTAAGTTCACACAGTTTACCCCTTTCTTAAAGGCAACCAGACTCTCCATGCCAGCTCTCCAGTAGTTCTGCTTCCTTTCCCATTATTGGTGTTCTTCAGGCTGTAGAAGCCAGCTCAGAGTGTTGGCCTCAAGATGTTTTATTAATAGAATCACTGGGACCATTGAAATCAGTTTTTCTGTAACATGCTGTCACACAGTGTCTGTCATTGGAGAGCAATGTACTGATTCCTTTTAAGAGATTCTCAAGACTTCAGTAAAAAAAAAAGGGGGGGGGGATTATTTTGTTAAAATAATACAGGCTGCCAGGACTGTTACCGTAACTACAAGGTATCATCGGTGAAAAATGTACAATGTCAAATACAGGGCAAGTTTGCTAAGGGCAATGAGTAACTTTCTGGGGGACAGGTGGGAACTGGTACCTCCCTACCATGTCTTTGCCTTCAAGGCTGCTGCAGAAGATGGAGAAGCATCAATAGATGTGCTTCAGTTGCTGGAAGGTGAGCCTGGTGTGAGTGAAGATAGCTGCTACAGCAAATGGTGACCTATTACAAGCAAGCTGAAAGAAACAGGTTTACTCTTCATTCAAAAGGAAATAGCATGGCCAATTTAAGCATAGGTGAAAGAGGAAGTAAGCATCTCCTGAATTCAGAGCACCTGGTATTATTTCCCATTATTTACACACTCCTTGCCCTGTGCACTTTTGTTTGGGAAAGTAACTGATGGATACTGTGATACCTACCTCCTGTGTCAGGAGCACAATTGCAGTCAGACCCACTGTGATGGCAAGAAAAATTACAATTCTGGTCCCAAGAGGAAAGCAACTCCAACTCATGGCAAAACTGAATATTGAGAAAACCTTTTTCCTTAAGAGGATGTATTTGGGTACAGTCTCTGTAGCTCTTGCTTTCTGGAGATTGTGCTCATGACCTACACATCTGAGATACATATAGGAAACTCCCTCCCAATTCAGCAGGGAACCGTCTGGCACCTGCCATGTCTTCTGGAGAGACTGAAATTTCAATTCTTCCTAGGACAGAACAGGTGCCTCAAAAGCTCTAGGTAAGGCCTGACTTTGCCCTCATTAGCTCAGACCGTAGTTTCTTTTTCCTTGCTCTGTGGTTGCTGTCTGAATTTGGTTCTGCTTCATTACCCTTTTGCTCCTGGTCATCAAGACTCTGATTTCCTATTTTACCTTCCAAGAAAGTAAGTTTTGCTTTCTTTTTAATGAGGTACAAACACCGTCGAATCTTGGGATTTAAAGCATTACAGCTGTGAAACATCTCTAGTGGGGGTTCACTATGGCCATAGGAGCAATGGTCTTAGCAGTGATCCTGTGTGCTCTTTTAACGACTAGAGACCAGTCACAACTGATTTCAAAAAGTTGGTTTACTACAAAATTTCTCAGGCCATTCATCTAAGAAAATCACCTAAACCAGGCATGGTGGAACACGCCTTTAATCAGAGCACTTGGGAGGCAGAGGTAGGTGGATCTTTGAGAGCTCAAGGCCAGTCTGCTCTACAAAGTGGGTTCAGAACAGCCAGGGCTGTTACATAAAGAAACTCTCAAGATTAAAAAAAAAAAATTAGCTTAAGCCATTCTAGCCAATATGCTGGTTTGGATATACAAGCTGACTAAAAAGAATTAATTCTTGAAATACTTAGGTGGAGTCTTAGGTGAAGTCATTCATCCCATGGCAGAGTATGGATTAAAAACATACAGTACACCTATCAAGTGACACAGTGCAAGTCAGTTAGCTTCTCTGGCCCTTCGATGTCAGAATGGGTTGACAAGCTAAGTGATACAACACCATTCTTTAGATGTTGACTACTTCAACACAACAGAGCAATGCCACTCTTTGGTGAGTTACACATCAGCTGACTTGACTCTGGAGTTGATTCTTACCTTGTTGACGGATGTACCACTGAACTGCAAACGGAGACTATAGTGTTTTCAAATGCTGGTTTAGCTACTCAATTTAGTGAATCACATTTCCTTAGAAACCTGTCTTCTAAGTAGGATTAATACAGAGTATGTAAAACCTTAGGACTGAGTTTTGCTTGCAAACAGAACATGGTTTTCTTGGACAAATGGCAGCAAAATCGATCTAGAGGTCCATGTTGTTCCCAAGCTAAAGCTTTGCTAGACTGCAGTCTTCTTTTCTTTTCTTACTAGCTAGCCTCCAGTATCTTATCTCTGATGGGCTAGTACGGTAATGAGTCAACACAGGAAAGCTTGTCCTCTCACCTGCATTCGGCAGAGGCTGCAGGTAGACCTAATGTTGATAACAACCACGAAACGTAACAGGCACAAGTGTACATATATAGTTTTCTTGTTTCTTTTGAAGTGCAGGTCACCAAATGCAGGGCCTTGTGCAGGCAAGGCAACTGCTTTACTTATTCCTGAGCTATATCTTCAGCCTTGAAACTTGTGTTCTATAAATCTGAAGGTTCTATATAACTGCAGTTGAGAAAAATTGACTGCTGTTTAAAAATAGAACTTGCAACACACACACACACACACACACACACACACACACAAAACTGGCAACAGATATGACAGACATCCTAATTTGACCACTAGGCATTGTACATATTCCAACGCTGTTACCCCATGAGTATGCCAAGTAAAGAGAAAGTACTAAAAAATTTAACCAAAATTTTAATGTTACTGTGAATCTCAAATATTAAGGCTTTCTTTAACCACAAAATAGAATACACCCCCCCAAGATTCCATCACAAAGGATAACTTCAAGGATGCTTCGTAGCATCTTTGTATAGCTGCTCACCAATTGTATAATCCCCAATGTCTCCAGACACAGCTAAACTTCCAAACTACTAAGCAAACAGCAGATGCAAACCTACTTTCCAGCTCCTTTTATAGTTGTGCTTTTATCAGAATAAGTTTGTGTGTGTGTGCTTTCTACTTTCTTTTCTCTTTGATTTTGGAAATAAGGCATCAGGTAGTCTAAGCTGGTGCGACACTCTTTATGTAGCAAGGGTAGAGCTGAACTGATCGTCCTGCCTTCACTTCCTAAGTGCTGGGAATCTTGACTTGTGGCATTCACATGGCTTGTTTTCTACTTTCTTTTCTTTTCTTTTTTTTTTTTAAATTCAATAACTTTGGCCACAAATTTTTTAAAAACTTCATTTCTTCTCCTCTTCTTCCTCCCCCACCCCTTTTTTACATAGACCCTCCCAGAATTCAGGGCTTCACTCCTTGATAAAGGCTAACTTTGGAATACTATAGTACTTTATGGAGAAAGGTTTTTTTGCTTTTTGTTTTGTTTTTGATACAGGGTTTCTCTGTGTAGCCCTGGCCATCTGGAACTAACTCAGTAGATCAGACTGGCCTCCAACTCAGAGACTGGCCTGCCTCTGCCTCCTAAATGCAGGGATGAAAAGTATGCACCCCCCCACCCCACCAGTTTTCTACTTTTTCAGTGCACAAAATAAGACACATCATGAAAACCCTTAAAAATTTCAATATCACAAAAATCCACACAATAATTCAACAAGCATTTATTAAACACCTACTGTGTGCTCAGCACTGTACTAGGCACTAAGAGGGTACAGTGATACAAATGTTACAGTTATTATCCCTGCCCTCAAGGAGCTTACAATTTAATTTTGGAAATAAATACAAATGTGAAACTACTATACATACTTCTAGAAATAATTACAGAGCAAGGTATTAGTAACTTGAAAGTTAACTGCTCAGGCAGCTCAGACTAAGGGAAGATCTTGATGTGAGGTGAACTCAATCAGGAGGTGCTCACTCAAAGACATACAGGAAGTGAGTTTAATGAGTGAACAGGAGTTACGGCCAAAGAGTAATCTAAGGGGGAAAACCATGAGAAAGGCACCGAGGCAAAGGTCTGTAAGACAAAAGTAGAGAGCTGGAGGACGTCTGAATGTGATGTACGAAGGTGAACAAGTTAGAAAGTGATGAAAGCCGAGGCAGATTCAGAATGGAGGGCAAAGTCATAGAACACTATCACTCTGGTGAGAATTATCTGCTGGGGGAGGAGTAAAACATGATACCATGAAAGTGGAGTTTGAGGATCATTTTTCAAGTGTTATATAAGCTGGATATTCTAAAAGGAAGTATAGAAACCTGAGCCCAAGTGATATAGACCTAACTGGAAGACTGTAATGGTATAGTAGAAATAAAAAACAAAACCTAAGTGATAATGAAAATGAGCTCCAAGAAGAAAGCAATTGAGATAAACAAGTTTCTAGACTTGGAGAGTGGAAGGCAGAAAAAGATGCAATGATAACTTCAAGGGTGAGATGAGAAATACAAAGGGCAGCAATTCTATTTAGGGTACAGGGTTTATTGAAAAGAAATACAAATTGAAGGAGAATGGTGAATTTCAAATATCAGGTTGTGTAGGTACCTGAGGAAAATACCGTAAGCAGAGATGACATCCAAAGTGGGAAATATGAAGTCAAATACAAAGCACAACAAAATAGATAAACAAAAAAAGAGACAGAAAAAGTGAGCAAAAGTATGACATGGGATTATTTTAGTATAAAGGAGAAAAAAGACTAATAAAGAAAAGCCAGATATTAGAGAAAAATGACCCCAAAAGTTGCCATAAAACAAAGAAAGGAAAACAGAATTCTTTAAGTATGGTTATTAGTCAAAGGTTCTCTAGAGAACAGAGCTTATAGAATGAATACACACATACACACACACACACATATACACACACACGCACCCACCCACATATGGAGAGAATGGGATTTCATTAGTGGCTTATAAGCTGTGGTCCAGCAATGGTTGTCTATCAACGGGAAGTCAAAGAATGGACCAGCTGTTTACTCCACCAGGATGGATGTCTCAGCTGGTCTTCATTATACACCAGAATCCTGAAGAAGTAGGGTCTAACTCCAGTGAAGGAATGGACTTGCCAGCAAAAAGCAAGGAAGCAAGAGCAAATTTCTTTCTTGCATATCCTCATAGAGGCTGCCATCAGAAGGTTTGGTGCAGATTAAAGGTGGATACTCCCACCTGAAAAGATCCAGATTAAAAGTGGGTCTTTCCACTTGAAATGATTTAAAATAAATCCCTGACATGTGTACCCAGCAATCTAGTTTTAGTTAATCCAGATGTAGTCAAGTTAACAGCCAAGAACAGCCATCACAAATCCACCCATTGTCAATTTGACACACAATCATATCTCCTTACATCATGCTTAATTTCCAAGTGAAAATAATAATCAGGTCATAATTATACCTAAGGTGATATAAATATCACACATATAATTACAAATGTATTATATATTTAACAAGGCCATAATTACACCTACATGATATAACTATCCCTTGTACAACCACAAGCCCATTATAAATTTTAAAATAGATGGCAATGGCCTTTGAGGGACATTCTTTTGGTATCTCAAAACTTAAATATGGTAACTACAGATGTTCTCATGTTACGTTACTGATAAAGAAACTGAGGAAAGAAACACTGAAATCTGAACAAACACATTCTTAGCAAAATATGACAGAAACAGTCATGTCAATTATAATCCTCATTTCTGCAACTGGTTCCACGACCATAGATGGTATTTAGAGCTACCTTTTTCTATTACTCATTCTGTAGTTCCTCAAAGCAGAAAAGGCAATGTTTAAGGGGTGGAAGTACATCTTCTGCTGAGGGCAGAGAGACTATTCCCTCAGGTGAGATAAACCCTTGAGAACTGGAGGGTAGAATCAACAGGGTCTTCCCACACATCTCTACCCCACATTTCAGGATCCAATTCTTTACTAGTTAATGCTCTAACCTGAACCACTGATACCCTCTGAGGCTGGGACCTGATTTTTATTTTTTATTGTTTTGGTAATTCAGCCAACCTTAGAATGAGGGCTTCAGTTTGATTTTCCACAATTTGAGCTGTGGCTGCTGAAGAGAAGATTCTCTTCCAGTACACACACACATAGAAACCTCTAGACTGTTTATGTACATCCAGAGTCAGTCAGTTTTTATCACTGAGCACTATTGTTCTTCACTATATTTTGATATGCTAGAAGTTGGTTAATTCTATCAAGGAGTTCATTCTTTTCCTTTGTCAATTTATCCAGAGATGCTGGGAGCAATGAACCACTACCATCATTTTCCTTATTTTTCTACAAATTGTCAAAAGTTTTATATACAGAGTCACCAAATCTCTTACCTCCCACAACTGGTGAATCAGGACAATCAAATGGACTTGTCTCTTAAGTCTGTAAAATAGTTCACACTATGGGCTTTTAATAAACCCTGAGTTTCTGAGAGGAAAGCCTATGCCAGATACTTAAAAAATTTTATCCTTATACTTCTATTGCTCTAGAATCACTTCTGGTACAAAATTCTGTATTAGTCGGGGTTCTCTAGTAGAATAGAATAGAATGAACACACACACACACACACACACACACACACACACACACACACAAAGGAATTGTTAGAATGGCTTACCTGCTGTGGTCTAGCTAGTTCAACAATGGCTACCTACCAACAAAAGACCCAAGAATCCAGTAATACTCAAAATGACAACCAAGATTAGCCATCGCATATGGGAAAATTCAACATTATGAATATAAAAGTGATTAAGGAAGATAACAACAACAATATACAGCCTTAATTTACACACTGGGCATTCTACATTCATTTTAGTGGAATGTTGACTATGACAGCCAGTAAGGAAATGTTTTTAAGAGCTAAGGCAGAAATTGGTTAAAATGAGTAACATCTTTGAAAAATCAAGGAAAACACAAGACACAAAATGGTGATTGGAAATGGGCAATAAGCTTGAAGGTTTTCTCTGTAGGCTATGGATAAACTTACTGCTACCATCTTAACTGCCCATCTGCCCAACCTAGAATCTACTCACTTCTTTCTCCCTTTGGCAGTCTACAGAGAAATGTTACTGTTTTACCCTCCTAGTTACTCCTTTACGCATAGTCTATTAACAAAATTTACCTTTTTTAAACTGAAAATCAAGACTATCAACGTCTAAAGATGTTCTTTCCCCAAATAGTATTTTAAGCCAATTTCCCAGTAATTGCAATGGATCCATACTAAACTATTGTCCACTGTCTACCTAGTATCTCTTATGACCAGGAGTACATGGTTTCATTTGGTAGGCCAGAGTTTAGTCAGTGTTGGTAGCGTAGCACAGTAGCCATGACAGGCTCTAGCACCAGGCTGTATGGGTTAGAATCTTGTCATTTGCTGCCTATGTGATGTTGGCTAGTTCTCTAAGCTCTTTATTTTTATCGTTTATAAATGGGGCATGTAGTGATATGAGCTATTAAGTGGATAAATGTTTAACTTAGGGTTTGGCTCACAACTATTGTTCAAAACAAAACAAAAAAAGTCAGCTATCACTCTAGAGAAGCAGAAACAAGAGCAAGGTTATACTGGCCCACGTTGGAATCAATCACATTATTGAATACCTATCTGGTCTCATGGAGAAATTCTTTGAAACCTCAGAGGTTTCTCCCAGTGGTATGTTGATGACAAGTGAGTTAGGGAAGAACCACTCTACCATGCCAGATCCTAAGATGAGCAGCTGAGGACGGTATAAGAAAGTATTGGTAGACAATTCATTTCAGATTGAAAGAAAAAATTGACTCTATGGGATAAAAGCCTAATGAATGCCACAGGTAGTTGACACCTCTAGATAATGTAATATGGACTAATTAATGCTTGGTGAATTCAAGACTAAAATGACTTCTATGTTCTTCAAAGACTCTAGTCTTTTCTATTACCATATGCTATAACATTTGGCCTTTTCTATACATGTGCTTTGATAGTTCATTAAAATTTTATTATTTGTAATTATGTATATGTCTATGTGTACCTGTGTGTACGGGCCTGTGTATGCCAGATATGTTGGATCCTCCTGGAGCTGGAGTTACAGGAAGTTACAAGCCACCCAACATGGGTGCTAGGAATGGAACTCAATGGTTCTCTGCAAGAACAATCCACATTCTCAACCACTAAGCCATTTTCCAGTCTCAAATTACATTTTTGGGTTCTTTTGAGACTGGCCTCACTATATTCAAGGCTGGCTTTGAACTTGCTATACAGACTTGGCTGGCCCATGAGTGCTATGACTAAAGGTGTGCCTCACCAATAATGGATCCAATAACTCATTTTTAAATGACAACCTTTTTCATATTCATGCCAGTGTAACATTAATCTTTCCAATCATATTATTTTCTTCCAGTTGCTGAGTAGCTCTTAGCAGTCTGAGACTGAAGTGATCTGTACACATTACTCTGGATACAAATGCTAAAGGGCAATTTATTGGAAACAAGGCAGGTAGGTACTCACGCATATATGCACACACGCAGACTTCTAGCTTCACTGACAATGTACTCATTCTATGTAACGTTTGCACACAAGGTAGCACTGACCTACATAGAAATCCTGTCATCTAGAGACGGTAAGGCACAACTCAAGCAATTGGGGCAGGAGAGGTGGCTCAGTGGTTTAGAGTTTTAGAGAAGTGTTAGGAATGATAATCTATATTAAACTGGAAGGAAGCAAACAGAAAGGAGGGTAAGAAAATAAAGAATAATGAAAAGGACTGGCCTCAGAGAGTTAGCCAAAAAACTAAGATGATCCTTTTTAGGACAGTCACAATGTGAAACTGTTTTCCTTGAGATTTCATCAGAACCTACTCAGAACCTGTCTTCTGAGTAAGATTAATGGAATAATTTTAAGTGTGAGGATTAAAGTTAAAGCAAAAGTTATTCAGCTTCCAGCTCACTAATCAAATGGCCAAACATGAAATATAATTAACAGTAACAGATGGTTTTCTTGCTCTTCATTAAATGAGAATTCTAAGAATGTCCCCACTATCTGGAGGACTAGCAGCACTATTAGAATAAGTAAGTATACTTACTCCTCTGAAAGGACACTATATTTTAGGTGCACAAGATCTGATGTGTTATTTTAAACCAGTCTCATTATTTTACACAATATCCTATGTTATGCTGAAAGTTTTAGAGGTGAAATACAGGGCCTGGTGGCAATGAGTGTAATAGTCTATCTTTGTTGTTAGATGACTGAGGGAGTGTGCCAGAATTCAGAATAAGAAATCAGAGATAAGGTATTTGATAGATTACCACTGTGGATACTGAAGATATGCAAATGGAAGGAAACAGATAGATGATAACGACGGAGCGGCAGAGGCCATCTGAGAAGGTCAGTCCAGGCTGACCATGTACTCAGGGAGTTCACATAGACAGGAACCTGAGAGCTGTACTGTAATGGGCCAAAAGGAATGATGTACATTCTTTGTAAGAATTTTTAATGTCTTTTTCTAGCACCTCTGTTTCTTATTTGGTGCCAAAGCTTTGATAGTGCAAATATGTTTTGAACCACAGTGTACAGTGGGAAGGTGAAGGAGAGTCAGAAGTCATCCTGAGGTACACTCTGTCCGTGCTCAAGAGTAGCCAGGCTGAGTCTCCACTCACCTCTTTCTTGGCATCACTCCCACCATCATCACTAATGCAGCCACTTCCTCTGTTGACACAGGTACTGAGACTGGGGGTGGTGAAGGATATGAGCTCAGGGATTCAATGGAAGTCAGTAAAGGTGCTAAATGAAGAAAAATGCTACAGTGCTGTTAAAAATATAGCATTGAATTTGTAGAGGATTATGGGTTTATATCATCTAAGAGTACTAGAATAATACGTTAAATGTTCAACCATTTCCCTCTAACTAGGGTATTAGAAAGCTAAATACAAATCTTAGTCTCATTGAGGTTGCCTTGGACTCAAGCGGCTTCTCAGATTAGGATTTACTAGGGCATCTTCAGAGGGGAATGGCAGAAAGGGACCACAAAAATGGGAAGAAGAGAAGCTTAGAGGAGTGGTCCCTCTCAAACTTACAGCCACTCTTGGGAAAGACAAAATATAGTGTTTCAAGTCACAGTAAGCAATCTGCTGTTATTTTAAAGTTCTGAAGAATATATAAAGCTGCCAGGGCTCTGCTTCACCAGATGCCTCCAAAGACAGTCAAGCCAATCAATCTCTACCAGGGACTGTGCTCAAACTACTGAAGTGCTATTCTTAACTGTCATCACAACACAGATTCTGCCCTTTTCACTAGCCTTCTCCACTACCACATGGCTTCTCTAATGCTGAATAATGTTCAGACAACAACCAAAGTTTTTCCTAAACTCCTGTGGTTTCAGGCTTTTCTCCAGTGTGGATTCTCTGATGTCGAATGAGGCTTGATCTCTGAATAAAGGCTTTCCCACACTCACTGCATTGATAGGGCTTCTCCCCTGTGTGTATTCTCAGATGCTGAATGAGACCAGTGTTCCCATTGAAAGCTTTCCCACATTCTTTACACTTGTAGGGTCTTTCTCCAGTATGGATTCTCTGATGTTCAATCAGGCCTGATTTCTGACTGAAGGCCCTCCCGCACTCATTGCATTTGTAAGGTTTCTCCCCAGTGTGGCTTCTTTGATGGCCAATAAGATGGGAGCTGCGTCTGAATGTTTTCCCACACTCATCACACTCATAGGGTTTCTCCCCAGTGTGGATTCTCTGGTGTCCAATGAGGTGTGAACTATGACTGAAAGCTTTTCCACATTCATTACATTCATACGGTCTCTCCCCACTGTGGATTCTCTGGTGCAAAATAAGGCCTGCGCTCTGACTAAAGGCCTTACCACACTGATTACACTGATAGGGCTTCTCTCCGGTGTGGATTCTCTGGTGCAGGATCAGGCCTGTGTTCTGACTGAAGGCCTTACCACATTCTTTACAGTGATAGCGCTTCACTTTGTTGTGGATGTCCTGATGGGAAAGAAGGGCTGACCTATAGCTGAAGGCTTTACTGCACACATTACATTGATAGGGTTTCTCTCCAGTGTGGATTCTCCAGTGTCGAACAAGGCCTGAGTTCTGAGCAAAGCTTTTCCCACATTCATCACATTTATGCCGTCTCTCTTGTGTGGGATTTCCCTGCTGCCTCTCTAATCTGTCTTGGGTTTCTCCGTGCGTAAGACCCACGATAACATCCCCGTTGCACTTGGCAGCTGTTTGTCCATGTGGCTGGATTCCGGTTGATATTACCTGTTTTGAAAAGAATTCCTTGTTCTCACTCCTGGTCTCACCATCTGAAATAAACACATAGTAAGCAATCATTCTCAAAGTCACTTCCTACTTTCTATACAGAAGGGGGAAGTGAAGTTGTAATGGAAGCTACAAGCAAATACAAGCTTCTCTATTCAAAACAGGGAGAGATACATGCAAGTTGATCAAGTAAAAGTACCAAATGCCAAGTGGGAAAGATATGTCAGGAAAAAAGGGTTTTCTGATACATGAGTCGTGTTGGAAGGGATTAACTGAGAAGTGTAAGTTGGGGAGTAGGAAGAGATAAAGAAGTCTTCTAAGATGTACTGAGTGGGACAGAATGCACCAAACAGTCCTGAAAAGTGTAGAAGTACAACTGGCTCATATGACAGAAACACTCTGATATCCACTATCAGGATGGTCCAAGGGGACCTGAAGAAAGGTGTGAATGCAGGGAGTACTACAAACATGCCACTTTCTATCTGGCAAGAACAGTCTTCACTACATAGATACAAACTGTAAGGACTTCTGGGTTGGAGAACAAAATGCTTAATTTCATATCTCAGGAATCTCAATCTAATACCCATTTCTTAAATTCTGAGTTTCTTTTCTTTGCAATTCATAAAAAAATTTAAAGCAAATTTATATCTATGCATGTCACATGTGTAAGGTATCTGCAGAGCCTAGAAGAAGGCATCATAGCCTCCAGAGTTGGAGTTCCTGGTGGTTATACGGTACCTGATGTGGATGCTGGGAAAAGAACTCCAGTCCTCCAGAAGAACAGGAAGCACTCTTAACCATTGAGCCATCTCTACAGCCCTAAATCCTGAATTTAAGTTCAACTAAGTCCTCCAGAAACCTTATAAAGCTACCAGAAACACAGCAAAGACAAAGTTCTTAAGTTATAATAACTACAGCTCTCCTTACCCAGGGAGAACATGTTTCTGTATTTCTCGGGCCTGTTATCTCTATTCAGATCCTTCTGTGATGGATCAAGAAGCCACTCTTCTCGAATAAGAGACACAGCCATGTCTTCAATCTTTTCCAAAGTCTGAAACAAAAGAAGACCCTCATTTGGGGCCTAGAAAGGTTCCATAGCTTAAAACTAGTGTTTGCGATAACTACAGTGTTAGGAGAGGTGAAGAAGTAGGAGTGTGCTAAGCAAAGGGATGTGAACAGCTGGGAGGAAGAGGAAAGTGCACTGGATTTATTGTGGAAACTCAAAGGCTAGTTTGTTACTAAGTAAAAAGGGTTCAGAGGAAGTTCTTAAACAGGCAGCACTGCAGATAGATATGGCATTTGCCACACTGTCAGAGGTGCGGGCTTTTAGTGAGAAGGAGCACAACTCACCTGAAACCCTGCAGTGAGTAGTCTAGCTGTCACCTCCTGATCTCCAGAACTTCTTTTCTGGGAAGGAGTACGACTCTGAGAAGCAGACATGGCTGAGAGGAGAAAGGAGCTATGAATTGACTAGTCTTGTATGTTTGTGGGAGCCAGCATTCACTTATCCAAAATTACTTTTATTTCAGAATACATATGCCAAGGATTTTGCACATAAAGTGCTGACATCTTGGACTCTGGCCCATATTCATGGACGTCCACAGAACATCTGTACTTTAATGTACCTGAACTTACATATTTAAATAAACAAAGTATACTGATTTCCTAACAGGAGCTGCTTTCTAATTTATTCTCTATCCAAAGTACTATCTCTGTATAGCATTCCTTCAGAACCCGAAATCCTAGAAAACTGAACATGGGAACCAATCAAACTGTTACCTTTCTAGTAACTGCTGTGGCTGCAGTGACTACTTCTCATGGATAGTGAACATCTTATCACCAAAAACAACCTCATAATTAAGCAAAACATGTTTTGAAAAACAAGATTTAGGACTTCAGATTAAGAATTATATAATTAACAAAAATGAAGTATTTCTGTGCTACTTCTTAGAAACGTTAAAAATGCTTAGCCTATTGACTAAGTTAAAGTGCAGGAATATTAAAAATTCACTTATATGCTGGGGTGGCAAATGCCTATAGTCACAGCAGGAGGACCATCACAAGTTTGAGGCCAGGCTTATCTACATAGTGAGTTCTAGGCTAGGCAAGACTACAGAGATCCTGTTTCAAAAAGAAAAAAAAAAAAAGATTTCACTTATAGAAAACAAAGCATTATAAATCCATACATAGGGAAAAACACATAAACATACCAAAACACCCTACAAAGATGAATAGCCTAGAATAGGCTGTTCTGTATAAAATAGGGCAATTCTCAATATACAACATAAAAATGTCACCCCTCCCCCCCAAACAAAAACAAGACAAACAAACAAACAGAAACAAACCAGGAAAACCAGATTTAAGGGGCATCATCTGGTCAAATATAATTTAAGTACAGTTAACACAAAGTTTCTTGAACAAAGAATTTATATGTCCATGGGTAAATAATAATAATAATAAAATGGAAGGGTTGAGGACATAGCTCAATTAAAGAGTGCTTGCCTTGGATGATTAAAGCCCTGGGTTAGTACTGAGCACTGCCCAAAACAACACAGACACACCCACCCTCCACACACACTCAGGACTGGTATGATGGCTCAGTGGTAAAGTACTTGCTATGGAAGTAAGAGGACAGAAGTTCAGAATCCCATCACCCACATAAAAGCCTCATGCCTTGAGTCTTAGTGTTAGGGACTGGAAGAGAACAAGGACAGGCAGATCTTTAGAACCTGCAGGTCAGGTAGTCTAGCTGAAATGGTAGACCTAATGTTTAGGGAAAGATTTCATCTCAAAAAATAAGGTGGAGGGGCCAAGGGGAGCTTGGAGGGTAAAAGTGCTTCCTATATAATTCTGAGGACTCAAGTTCAATTCTTGGAATCCATGGTGGATGGACAGAAGCAGCTCTTGAAGAAAGTTGTTCTCTGACCTCCAGGTGTATATCTAGGTATATACACTACTACTACTACTACTACTACTAATAGTAACAACAACAATAATAGTAAGGTAGGGAGAATTAGCCTAGCAAGATTAATCTTAAGTCATCAAAGATAACATCACAATAGGTCAAATTTCTGAAATGTTCTTTCTAAATATACACAAGTAGAACCTAAATGAGACAATACCAAACAAACCTAATCTGCAGCCATTCCAATTCTAATCTATGTTCTTTAAAACTGGTAAGGTTGTGAAAAGACTAAGAAATCATGCCCAAAATGTGTAATTAAAGGAGACTGAAGAGACTGCTGACTAACTGCACTGTGGTCATAGGGTGGGCCCTGGACCAGAAAAGACACGGAGACAACTGGGACGTGAGTATGAGATGAGGACTGGATCAGCACCACTGCTGCACCGTAGTTCCTAGCTACGTCATCCTACTGTGCTCAGCAAAATGCTCTCATTAAAGGAAAGGCATATTGAAGTAACTGTAAATAAAATGTTATGATACTAGAAAAATCTAAATAAAATGTCTGCTGTAAACGTACTGGGGTAACAAAGTTCTTTTTTCTTTGCTCATGTCCTCTGGGCATGCTATGGCCATTGCCCTCCTGAACTCTTAGGAGTAGCTATATGCATAAGACCTGCAAAAGACTGGGCCCATTAACAGAGTAGGGAAAGGATCACACGCTCCCTCCCCCATTCCCATATAGGCAATTAAATGGTGCTAAGAGATTTCTCTAGTGGTATGGTGGCTCCTAAGTTACCTACGTTTCTATAAAAAAAAAAAAATCCTTTATCGGACTCCTAATCAAACTCATTGGCTCACAAGTTAGTCTTCAAAAAACTTGTTTCTTTGGTGTGTCCTTGGTGCCCCATCTGGGGTGAACAGTTGTTTATGCCCACAGGAAAAGTCCACATACTACTTCTATAAACATTCAAAACCAGAAGATGGAGACTACTCAAACACCGATGTCACTTCCTGACCGAGACAGATACCCCAAACATAAGTCTCTTTCCTTTCCACTTTCCTCACCCTTAGAAGTGAAATCTGGCCTCTCTCCTCTGTCCTGTGGCTTCTGGAGCACTGGAGGTTTATGTTTGATTGCCATGGGTCGGAACTGAGTACTTGGAGGTTCTGGTGCAGTTTCTGAAGGTACGACTTCCTCCCAGAGAACTCTGTGCCCATGTGTACGAGCTGAGACCTAGAAACAATGGGACAGCTGAGTTATGAAGAATTCCTTTGAGAAAGGAAGTGAAGGTAGTAGTAGAACCAATACTTATATTAGGAAAAGCAAGCAGTATAATTGCATTTACTTCTTAGGGCAACAAGAAACACCACATTAGCACAAAAAGAAGGGATTTGTTCTGGTCAGTACTAAAAAAGATTTCTGTTGTTGTTTCTCTATTACATCTAGCACCAACATTTGCACTTCAACTATAGGACAGAGAATGTTTAACAGAGAAAACTAAAACAGGGCCATACAATACTAAGACACTCTTCTGACAAGGACTAGGAAGCCTGTGTTCTAGTAAGCAGTCGTCTCTAATTATGTAGGCAAAGCTAGCTGACACAGAAAATAGTTTAGCAAGATGGGCTTTGGAGGTGGAGGCAGGAAGATCAGGAGTTCAAGGCCCCACTGAGTTGGTTACAGGAGATTTAATCAGTCTAAAAGAAAAACAGAGCTCACACCTTTGATCCCAACACTTGGGATCTCACGCCTTTAATCCTAGCACTAGAGAGGTGGAGACAGGAAGTGATATGGCTGGGCAGAGAGGAATATAAGGCAGGAGAAAGGAGCTCAGCCCCTTCAGTCTGAGGATTTGGTGGAGGTAAAAAGTCTCTCTGGTGGCTGGCTCCTTTACTTCTCTGATCTTTCAGCATTTACCTCAACATCTGATTCCAGGTTTGTATTATTAAGACCAATAAGAATTTATCTATACCAAAGTCTTTCTACTCAGCTTCCAGGAATTCAGTCCCAGCATGCACAGCTACTTACTGGTTGTCCTAGGATATTAATCTGCCTTTGCAAGTCCTCCAACAGGGTCACTACCTCCTCTCCATTTTCTAACTGGTGTTCCTTCACCAGAGTCTGCAGCTCCCCTGGCAGGATGGTCAGGAACTGCTCCAGCACCAGCAGCTCCAGGATCTGCTCCTTGCTGTTCAAGTCTGGCCGCAGCCACTGATGGCAAAGTGCTCGTAGCTGGATCAGAGCTTCCCGGGGTCCTAGAGTCTCCTGGTAGCATAGCTGCCTGAAACGTAGGCGAAACAGTTCTTGGCCAGCAGTATTATTTTCATGCATGCTAGATTCCTCATCCCAACCAGGATCCTCCTCTATCTTGACAATTACAAGATCCTCTTCAGGAGTCTGGTCTGGCGGAGATGGGGCCGAAGAAGGCTTTCTTGATTCTGCAGCCATTTAGGGCCAGAGAAGCTTAAAAGGTCCCTTTCCTCTCTACCTTCTGAATCTTCTTAAGTCTTCCGAGGACCTCCAGGGTACTTCTTTCAGAACAGAAAATGATAAATATGTTAATGTAAGGCAAAAGTCATAGTAAATTACCAAGATACTTCAACAAGCTCCCCTAAACAATCAGCCACACCAAACCTACCCAGGGTACAAACCCTTCCTTCCAGTTTCCTGTTTAAGGTTGTCGGGGATGGAGACTCAGCCTAACTGAAATTCTGCATTTATTAGCAGGTAAGACTCAGTACCTCACTGAGCTCCACGTAGCACCTTGTACACCTCCCACTCTCAACTGGATTTTGTACTTAAGCTCTCAGCCTTGAGCTCATTCTCAACAGATGAGGTCATTTCTCTATCCTCTACTTCAAGAACCTGGCTAACCCTTTCCTCCTTACTACTTAAGATTCTGCATCCTACTACGGCTCCCTATCTTCCCTCCAGTCTCAGGGCTAACTCTTGAACTCCTCTTACTCCTGAAAATCTACTCGGAGCAGTGGATCTGCAAAGAGCCAGGATGTCTTATCAACATCTACAATGGCCAAACCTAAGCCCACATACCAATGACCTTCCAGAATCTTTCAGAATAAAATATAGTAGTGTTTGAGTTTGACAACTTTCACTTAGGAGAAGACACCTGATATTAATCAATGTTGTGTCTGTTTATTCTTATACAAATACATATTTATCTACTCCCCACCAGGTGAGATGTTTCTTGAGCGTATTAGGAATAAAACCACTATGATTATGTGCACACAAATTCTTGTCTGAAAAGTTTTTAATTTTGTGAGGTAAAACCCAGAAGAATTGCTGAGTTTTAAGTGTAGTATCTAAAAAATTGCTGAACTGTTTTTCAAAGTGGCTGCAATATTTTGTATTCCATTAGCGCTTGACATCATATCTTAAAAATTTAAATAATAGGTATACATTAATGTGTCATAGTTCTAACTTGTTTTCTAACGAACAATGTTGAACATACATATATTTTAGTGAAGTATCGATTTAAAAATTTTGGCTTATCTTGCTTTTTTTGTCAGTCTCAATCAAAGAACATTGAACTTGTAATTTCCCCATCTCCGCTTTCCAAGTGCTGTGACTGCAGGTGTGCACCACCATGCTCAGTTTTATTATTTACCTTATTTAGACTGTTGAGATCGTATCATGTAGCCTGGTCTAGTCTGGAACACAATGTGTGGCCCAGGATGATCTTTAACTTGTGATCGTCTTGCCTCCATCTCTCAAGTACTGGGATTGTATGCACGTGTCATCATGCTTTGCCCAGTATTATTTTGTAATTGAGGTTTTATATTGTTTGTGTGTTTAAGATTTGAGAACTCCTTATATATTCTGGCTATAAGAAATACATGATTTACAAATATTGACTCATTACTGTTTTATTTTCCTTTCCCTCTACACATACTACTTTTCTTATAACTGCACATTATTGGTTGCAAAAAGGTTTTGCTCTCTTCATTTCATAATCCTCATGAAAATCTTATTGAAAAAAATTAAAGAATATCAGAGGGATAAATTTACAACACAACACAACACAACACAGAACTGTCTAGATTTGCTGTAAGAGCGAAGGTTACAGCTAGAACTCCAGGCCCAAAGAGCTCACTTGGATGGTTCTTTTTCTTTGTGGGGTATATGGACACTAATGGTCTCTGTACTTGTATAGACACCACCCTTGCTAAGGCTGCAGTGCTGACTTCTCTTTGACTTTGGTTATACTTCTCTTTCATGTGTGCTCTACAATGCTACTAGCTCTGTCTTCAAAAAAGATGCCCCAGGTAGTACCTATGAATGCAACCACATTTGCAAATAGCAGGTAGATAGAATCAAATTCACATGAAGTTACAACTGGAATAAGCTGGGTCCTTAATTCAGCATGACTGTTCTGTTAGAGACACAGGGGTCTGCAGGACAGCTCAGGAGGTAAAGGCATCTGCTGCCAAGCCTGACAGCCTGGATTTCGATTCCCAGGCTCCACACAGTGGAGGGAGGGGACTGACTCCTGCAAGCTGTCCTCTGAACTCCACTAGGGCACTGTGTCATGAGTAGACCTTCTTCATCCTTCCCAAACAATATATTACTCTATACCTCAGCCTGGTTTCACACTGGCAATCCCGCAACCTCACTCTCCTGAGTACTGCATGCAATTACAGACGTGCATCAATATACATTCTTTTTAATGACTAATATTTATCTTTAAAAAATCTCTTCCCATCTAATAATTGTGTGTATACAAATTGCAGTGTTGGTAAGCACATATAAACACTGCTCCTTACATATGATCATTAAAAAACATCCGGTCAGGCTTATTGACTGATTAATGTAAATGCAATAATAATCTTAAGCTTCTTCTCGATCTAAAATGTCAACTTCAATAATCCTGGCTTTTCACCAGATGTAGAAGATGTATTTTCCCCTTTGGATTAAGTTTAACTCGAGAAATGTCTTGGTATTGAGTGCAAACCAGGAAAAAACACAAGGAAAAGTAAATGAGACAAACACTGTGCTTTGTAGTTATCTCAAATGCACTCACTGAATATTTTTCTTTCAGATATTCCTAAAGTTATTTCAATACAGGCTTAAGCATGGGGGTTAGGAGAAATGGCACTCAGGAGGGGGCCAGGCACACAGTGTGGGCATGAGCTCCTCAGGGGTGTTGCTTTGAAGAATGCATTTAAGATTTACCACATAGTTAACCACAAGAGGAACTCAAAGCGTGCACATTCGCTAAAAGAATGACTGCCACATAACTACGCTTCAGAGAATTTTTCAGAGAGAAGTATGTTGTCAAGTGGTGGTCAACATCTTAGATGTCTGACAAAGATTACTCATGACTGACTTGAGAATCGGAAATAGGACCCCACGGAGTTTTCAACTACCTATTTCAGTTAGCTTTAATAAATTAAGTAGGCAAAGTATTCTGAATTCGGTTTTTGTTAACCCGGAATTACTGAAAGCATATCTTTTGCACAGAACTGTCTAGCCATCACATCAACCATTTCCTGTGCAGAAAAAAAAAAAAAAAAACAACAAACAGGAGTAACAACAACAAAAATCAGAGGTTTCCATGAGTAGCAGATACTTAAAAAAAGTATCTTTAAAAAATGAATTTTGATATCGAAAGGCAAAATCGCTTGAGTAAGAACAGCTGATACACGGGCCGGCTTTACAAGTAAGAGCGACTGCAAAGTAACACGGGGAGATTGGCGGTGAAAAGAGAGGCCTCGTAGGAAGTTGGGGCCGGTGTCGGCCTGCTGGGCTGGCTCAGGCCCTCCACCGACCCGCTCCCCGCGCTCCGGCCTCCGCAGCCCGCGCACCCCTGCTCGGCCGAGCGCACTCACCGAGAGCTCCGCACGCTGCCCGAGGGCGGGAGGCGGCACAGGGCGGACCGGGAAGCGCGCGCGCGAGGAGACGCGACGGACGCCGAAGCCGGGTAGGACCCCTACAGTGGCTAACTTCCAAAGCCTCGGAGCCGCAGAACCGGCCAGCATGCATCTTGCCCCACAGCCACTTCCGGAAGCTCTCTAGGAAGCCCGGAGGTCTGACAGCTCTATGGTCGTCCCGCGTAGGGACAGAGCGCCGCGCCTTCTGGCTGTCAGCGGCGCCAGGTGGATGTCTATGCTGCTGCTGAGGATTGTGGACATCCTTAGGAATGCCATACCTTTATGTCACCCAAGCTTTTTGCCTGGCCAGCTTTGGGCTTCAGTTGGCAAGGCTGAGGGTTAGGTGGCCAATCGCAGATCTCAGCTGGGCTCAGGAGGGAGCTTAATATGCCTAAAGAATTTCTCTTTATTCCTCTTAGATAACCCGTGCTTTCTGTTAATGCTTCATGAATTACTCCAAATTTCCAACATACACTTCAGATTGAGGAATTTAACCCTTTACAGTACCTGGGAAGAGTAGCACATCTTACATTATTCTGTTCCAACTAACCACGGCTTTTTCTTTGACTGGGATGTGTGGTCAGCCTCCCAACACTTGATGCTTTATCACCAGAAACAACAAAAGTTCCACAAAATAACCACAACCCATCTCTTAAGCTCTAAAGAGGATATTTAGGCTATTAGTAATGGTGGGAAACAGTGAACACACCGCTTTACTTTTTAATTTCGAAGATGACTAAAAAGTTTTAAGTTGTCAAAAGAGAGCTGATGATGGGTCGCAATTCTTTTTTTTTTTTTTTTTTTTTTTTTTTTCGAGACAGGGTTTCTCTGTGGCTTTGGAGCCTGTCCTGGAACTAGCTCTGTAGACCAGGCTGGTCTCGAACTCACAGAAATCTGCCTGCCTCTGCCTCCCGAGTGCTGGGATTAAAAGTGTGTGCCACCACCGCCCGGCAATTCTTATCTGGGTGAGGGGGTGTAGCCAGTCCGAGGAATTTTGAACATTTTACCTAGCGTCAGATATTGAACGGTTAAGTGAAAACCTAGATCTGATGGTCGAAGTCCTGTTCAACCAGGAATCCTCAAGCTTGGGTCACAAGTGCACAGTGAAAAGGCTTGTCTTTTTAAAGACAGAGTCTCTTTGTAGTCCTAGTTGGCCTCAATTTTGGGACAAATCTCCTGCCTTACCTTCCTAAGTGTTGGGATTATAAACATAAGCCAACACACCAGTTTAAAGCCGTCTTTGGTAACAGCTAATTCTTCTTTCAAAACTGAACTAAATTAGAAACGAGGGACAATTTTGCCCATATTCTTTGGTTAGAGTTTTTAAAATGATGAAAAATTTTGCCCACATTAAGAACACCAGCGGACTGACTCTAAGGGAGATTCTGACCACTAATTAGGTCTGAACATTAAGAAACTTTTGGTACTTTTACCTTTTTAGTAGAGTTTCTTTACTATATGAATTCTCTGATGTCTATCAAGAGCTGAACTTACGCATAGGTCTTCCACACTCACTGTGCCCACAGGGTTTTCAGCTGTGTGAATTATTTGATATTGAATAATACCTTTGGGTTCACTGAGATCTTTCCCCCTCTACATTTATAGTGATTCACTCCATGTACTCCATAATGTCCAACAAGACGTGAGAGTTGAAGGTTTCTTCATATTTATTAGACTTATAGGACTTCTCCCCAGTGTGAGTTCTCCTCTGAGCTAAGTTTTCATCACATCCTCTGCATTTGCATTGTCCTCTTTCCCTCTGTCACCATTTTCATCACCTTCCACTTTCAAAACCTAGATGCCCTTCAATGGAAGAATGGATGAAGAAAGTATGGAATATATACACGCTAGAGTACTACGCTGCGGTAAAAAACAATGACTTCGACACTTCCTGGCCATCCTACAGGGGCTATACTGCCCAAACCGCCTCTCTCTTCCTATCCCATTCAGCTTACATCCAGATCCCCACACCCCCTGTCTCCCTCCCTCCCTCCCTCCTTTGGGGCATAGCGCCTCCCTGCCCAGCCTGCTAGGACGCTGGGACTGAATCCAAACCGGGAGGACAAAGGGGTGGCCGGTAGCTCCTTTGTTCCCATAGCCTGCCTGCAGTGAGCAGGGTGGGCCCTTTGTTCGCGAGCTAACCAAGCAGCGCGGAGTTTCTATCTGGGCACCGAGTGAAACATCATTGTGGAGAAACATCTCTGGGGAGTGACATCACTGGGAAGGTACATCAGTGGGCAAGAAGACCTGATCCTGTAAAAGAAGATCCAAGGGGAGTATTGGGAGGAAGAGATGGGCAGACGCCAATGCAGGAATTCTCCCAACAATCTGAAAAACAACACGAAACCACCAGAAGCCAGTGACCCCACAACAGGAGGACATGAACACCTTAATCAAGAAGAAGTAGAAAAAACTGACTTCATGAAAGTGATTGACACCCTTAAACAGCATATAAAAAATGCCCTTATAGAAATGGATGAGAAGTATAATAGAAAGTTCGAGGAATTGAGTAAATCAGTGAATGATACCCTAGGAAACCAAGGAAAAACAATCAAGCAGATAAAGGAAACAGTTCATGACTTGAAAACTGAAATGGAGGCAAAGAAGAAAACACAAACAGAGGGCCGGCTGGACATGGAAAATCTAGGTAAACGAATAGAGACTACAGAATCAAGTATAACCAGCAGACTACAAGAGATAGAAGAAAGAATCTCAGATTCTGAGGATAACATAGAGAAAATAAACACTCTGATCAAAGAAAACAGCAAGTCCAACAAACTCTCATCACAAAACATTCAGGAAATATGGGACACAATAAAAAGACCAAACCTAAGAATAATTGGAGTAGAAGAAGGAGAAGAAGTGCAGCTCAACGGTACAGAAAATATACTTAATAAAATTATAGAAGAAAACTTTCCCAACCTGAAGACAGATGTACCTATGAAGGTTCAAGAAGCATACAGAACACCAAATAGGCTGGATCAAAAGAAAACATCCCCTCGCCATATAATAATCAAAACACAAAATATACAGAATAAAGAAAGAATATTAAGAGCCGCAAAGGAAAAAGGCCAAGTTACTTATAAAGGTAAACCTATCAGACTTACACCTGACTTCTCTATGGAAACCATGAAAGCCAGAAGGTCCTGGATAGATGTTCTCCAAAAACTAAGAGACCACGGATGCAAGCCCAGACTACTATATCCAGCCAAACTTTCATTCACTATAAATGGAGAAAACAAAATTTTCCAGGATAAAAACAAATTTAAACAATACGTAGCCACAAATCCAGCCTTACAGAAAATAATAGAAGGAAAATCACTAACCAAGGAGTCCAACAATGACCACAATAACTCAGACATCTAGAGACTCTTCACCAGCGCAAATCAAAGAAGGAAAACACACAAACCCTACTACTAAAAAAGTGACCGGAGTTAACAACCACTGGTCATTAATATCACTTAATATCAATGGGCTCAACTCACCTATAAAAAGGCACAGGCTAAGAGATTGGATAAGAAAACAGGATCCAACATTCTGCTGTCTACAAGAAACACACCTCAACCACAAAGACAGGCACCTACTCAGAGTAAAGGGCTGGGAAAAGGCTTATCAAGCAAATGGACCTAAGAAACAAGCAGGTGTGGCCATACTAATTTCTAACAAAGTTGACTTCAAACTTAAATCAATCAGAAGAGATGGAGAGGGACATTTTATACTCATAACAGGAACAATTCATCAGGAAGAAGTCTCAATCCTGAATATCTATGCCCCTAATATAAAAGCACCCACGTACGTAAAAGAAACATTACTAAAACTCAAGGCAGCCATCAAACTGCACACACTAATAGTAGGAGACTTCAACACTCCTCTCTCAACAATGGACAGGTCAATCAGACAGAAACCTAACAGAGAAATTAGGGCATTAATGGAGGTAATGAAGCAAATGGACTTAACAGACATCTATAGATCATTCCACCCAAAGAGGAAAGAATATACCTTCTTCTCTGCAGCTCATGGAACCTTCTCGAAAATTGACCACATACTTGGTAACAAAGATAACTTACACAGTTACAAAAAAAATATTAGTAACCACCTGTGTCTTATCAGATCACCATGGATTAAAGTTAGAATTCAACAACAATGCTACCCCCAGAAAGCCTACAAACTCATGGAAACTGAACAGTCAACTACTGAACCATACCTGGATTAAGGAAGAAATAAAGAAAGAAATTAAAGTCTTCCTTGAATTCAATGAAAATAAAGAAACAACATACTCGAACTTATGGGACACTATGAAAGCAGCCCTGAGAGGAAAGTTCATAGCACTAAGTGCCCACCTAAAGAAAACAGAGAAAGCACATATTGGAGACTTAACAGCCCACTTGAAAGCTCTAGAAAAAAAAGAAGCAGACTCACCTAGGAGGAGTAGAAGACTGGAAATAATCAAATTGAGGGCTGAAATCAACAAAATAGAAACACAGAAAACAATCCAAAGAATCAATGAAACAAAAAGCTGGTTCCTGGAGAAAATCAACAAGATTGATAAACCCCTATCCAAACTAATCAAACGACAGAGAGAGAACACGCAAATTAATAAGATCAGAAATGAAAAGGGGGACATAACCACAGACACAGATGAAATTCAGAGAGTCATTAGATCTTACTACAAAAGCCTATATGCCACAAAACTGGAAAATGTAAAAGAAATGGATGCTTCTTTAGATAAATACCATTTACCAAAACTAAACCAGGACCAGGTGAACAATCTAAACAGACCTGTAAGTCGCGAAGAATTAGAAGCTGTTATCAAAAACCTCCCTACCAAAAAAAGCCCAGGACCAGATGGTTTCAATGCAGAATTCTACCAGAACTTCCAAGAAGACCTAATACCTATACTCCTTAATGTATTCCACAATATAGAAACAGAAGGGTCATTACCAAATTCCTTTTATGAAGCCACAATTACTCTGATACCAAAACCACTCAAAGACTCAACCAGGAAAGAGAACTACAGGCCAATCTCACTCATGAATATCGACGCAAAAATCCTCAACAAAATACTGGCAAATCGAATCCAAGAACACATCCGAAGAATTATCCATTATGA